TCTTCTTGTACATTCATCCCTTTGTAAACAGTCCCTAATGTAAGCCAGATCCAGTCCTTCAGAGAGGGGAACAGTGCTAAAGACCGTGTATAACCTGAGGATGGTGGCTTGTTGTTGGTACTCAGAAAGTTGCTCATCTTGCCTTCAGGGTCAGCTAAATAGTCTGGCATGCTCAAGAATGATCTGATAAAAACTGGAGTTTGGGATTAACGTATACACACTACTATATATAAAATAGAGAACCAACGAGGTCCTACTGTATAGCACAGGGAACTCTACTCATTCTGTAATAACCTGTATGGGAAAAGAATCTGAAAAAGAATGGAGATATGTATATTTATCACTTTGTTGTACACCTGAAATTAACACAACATTGTAAATCAATTGCACTCCAATATAAAGTAAAAATTAAATTAAATTGAAAAAAAAATCTTCTTTTCCCTGGAATTAGGATAGCCGATTTCCTTGCTGGGAAACTATAGTTCAGATTATGGATCTTCAGAAACTTCTGCTTGTCCCTAATCAAGTCACTGTGATCCTTTTATTTTCTAGTCATTCAGGTACATGCATTTTTCAGTGTTCTAAACTAGCAACTCATCCTGGTGAGTTGGGTGGTCCCCACAAACGTGCAGGATCAAGGGACCCTGGAACCTTGTTCCTGACATTCATTTGCTCTTCCTGGAAATGCCTTCCTTTGTGTCTTCTTCTAGCCAGTTCCTACCCTCCATCCAGCTCTTAGCGACGTTTCCTGCCTGCCTGATAGCTCTTCCACGAGTGGCTGGTTTAGGTGCCCCTCTTGCGGGCTCTCAACACACACTACACATGCGCTATCCTTGTCAAGATAATTTAATTGTTGCTGTGTCTTTTCCATGATTAGCCTGTGGAGGAGACTGAAATAATACTGTTATGTGTTGAACTGTGTCCCCCAAAATGATTGCTTAAAGACCTAACACTCTGTACCTGTGAATGTGCAAGGCCTTAATGGTAAATAGATTCTTCACACATGTAATCAAATTAAGATAATGTCATACTCCATTAGGTTGGGCCCTAAGCCGACATGACTGGTGTCCTTATAAGAAAAGAGGAAACAGACACACAGACATGTGAGGGGAAAATGTCACTATGATGTAATCACACAGAAGCAGGGAGACAGTCCCAGGGATGCAGAGATCGAGGGGCTGCTTCTAGGAGCCCAGGAGCACCCATGGGTCAAGCAAACTGCCAGACGCTAGGGAGAGGCCAGGAAGGAGACTCCCCTACAGGTTTCAGAGGGGTTGTGGCCCTGCTGGCACCTTGACTTTGGTCTTCTACCCTCGAGAACTGTGAGACAATATACTCCTGGGGTTTTGGAAGCCACTCAGTTTGCGGAATGTTGCTAGACCAGCCCAAAGAGACTAAGACAGACACGATTGTGTACCCTTTGCAGTTTGTGCGGTGCCTGAAATGTGCAAATTTACATTGAGCTGAAATGAATTGTACATCATTTAGAGATATGTTAAAAGTAGGCCAAGTGTGTATTCCTGAAGAAACTTAACTCTATCTTTCTCATCCTTTTCTCCTACCCCCTAGTGTCAGAATGCAGCCTGGGTTATGGCACCCTGTCGAAACCTGTAGAAGCCTAGATTCAGTCCACTTTACCTATAAGCCTAATCACCCCCTAAGTTACTCCTATAACTCCTATAACTCCTATAACTCCTACTGTCCCCATGCAGAGATCACACTGCCTTACACCAAAGAGGGCAGCTGCTCGCTGAGCGCTCGTGGCCCTCATCTCCCCAGGATCACCCCGTTGTAGGTAAGATGCACAGACTTAAATCTCCCGGGAGGGGCAAGGTGCCACCTCACCTATAGAAATGAGGAACTACCCCCAGGGTACACTGTAAAGAGCGATGCGAGGCAGCTGGGATTCAGATTTACAGTTTTCCACAACTAAAACCCGCCCTTTACCCTCATGACATCCATTTGCAAGTATCTGCAGACTTAGGGGAAACTTCTCCTTTTCTTTGGAACCTCAAATGATCTCTCAGGGAGTTCTAAATGAGGGAGGCCTGAGGGCCCACTTAGCTCCAGATCCTTATTTTTGAGATGCACAGCCAGGCTGGGAGCACCCAGCCAACTGGCACAAAGAGCAGTAAGAGAGAGAGTCCAGGTTCCCTGCGTCCCAGCTTGGTTTACACTCTCTGTGTTATGCCCCAAGAATACCTCTGTAAAGTGCAGAGACCAGTGGCTTTGTGCTCTTAGAAACCGGAGTTAAACACACAGCAAGTCTTCTCTGGCCATTTCCTCCCTCCTTCCGTTCCCCCTTCTCCTCCCTCCCTCCTCCTCTCCCTCCCCCTTCCTCTCTTCCCTGGACCACTTTGTCACACTTTTCCTAGTGTCGTAAGTAAGTCACTCACCTTTAAGAACAGTTAATACTGACAAATAAAAAATTACATATTTCATTATCGTTATATTTAGGCATTAAAAATGTTTTTCAGCTAAATATGGATATAATTCGCCTACACAGAAGTTTGCTTTTACTTTTACAGGTATTTTAGGAAAACAAAAACAAAACCAAACACCTATATAGTTTGCAATTGCATGTGACCAGAAAAGCATATTTCAAAGAAATCCCCAGTCGTGCACAATGCACCCTATCAATTTTGGGACATAACTCAGAGGTCCTGATGCCTTCAGCATCACATCAGCAAAATGGCAACATTTAATATACATAAACATTCATCTTTAGCCATTCCTGGACAAAATATCAAACATAAATCCCAAGAGAAGTCTTTCCAAAGAGAGGCAGAGCATTTCATGTAAATGAGATCTATGAATCAGTGTCATTCTACTTACATTATTTTGGAGAGTTAAATTTGTCAAGCTATATTTAATGTATGTATTTTAATTTCAAACTATATATTTTAATGAAAATAGGATGTCTATGCTTGTGTCTTAAATGCATGGTGTAAAAATATACATTTAAGAACCTATACATTCATAGAAAAACACACATATGCATTCATAGCAAAAAGTCCCAAGGAAATTCTAACAATCAAATAGCAATCCCTGGATTGCGGTTTGTAGGTGACTAACATTTCTTCAGACTTTTCTTCTTTTCCTTAAAGTTTCCATAATTAGCATTGATTATTTTTATAACAAAAATAAAAGCATGGCTTCAAGCAAAACATAAGCAATACAAAGTATCCAATTAATGCTTTAGTGATATAGATTATTGCTGCACCAGAAGGTCTTGTTTGCTTCCTGAGTCTTGACTATTAGTCCCAGGATTTATTATCTCAAGCAAGTCATGAAATTCTCATGTGCTCTTTCCTTCTATGTAAGATAGAGTTAAAAATATCCACCTCATATTTTTGTTGCCAAGGATTAAAGAGATGATATTTGTAAACTCTCAGTTCAGTTCCCAAAGATGGTAGGAGCTGAGTCATTGATGCCATTACCACAAATCCTCTTATTATTTGTCACACCCATCACTCAGCAGGCACTGATCTCCTTTGCCTTGTTCTGCAAGCAAAACACTTTCTCCTTCTTTTGTAAATTGTGGACTGGGGACAAACTGCATCAGAATCATTTGGAAAGCTCAATAGAAGTACACTTACTGAATTTAGAATTTCTGGGTCTGCAAAGTCTATTTTTAGCATGATTCCCCAGAGAGCCATATGTTAATTAATTTTGAAAATAACCAAGATCCATGGAGAAGCCTACTTCTTGACCAGGTTGTTGAACATTATAGGCTGGCACAACCATGAAAAGAAAACAGTAACGCGATTTCTAATTATGTTATAGGGCCATTGAGAAGCAGCTAGCATACATCTTGAAGAGATGAAGTATGATGGAAATGAAATGAAATGGCATCCAATTCCATGTAACTAGCATTTTCTGAAGAAAACCTGTGGCCTTTTGTATTCAGATGGGCAAATTACTGCTAAATGTCCTCAATCACCATTTTGGCAATGGCTTGCTTGCATTTCTACCTGTGATACTGCATGCTATTTTCCCTGATTTTACTGCCTCATGAATGACAATGACTATGCCTTATTTCTCTGCATATCCTGTGTGGCCAGGACAATGTCTGACTATAGACAGACCTCCACAGATGTGGTCACCCTGTTGCAGCGAAGTCTGGGGCCTGAGGACTCAAAGAGCCTTAATAGGTTCCTACTTTTCTTCTTCATTACATGATTCTGCTGGTGTCTCCGAAGGCCAGTGCTCAAAATAAACAAACAAACAAAAAATGTGTATGTGCCAACTGACATTCTAAACAGAGGGAGTGCTTGCATTGCTATATTTTTAAATAAATATTACATCAGGTTTGGGGTGTGGAATTATTTTTTTAAGAATAAATTAGTGATCACATGCTGCTTCTAAACCCATGTAATAATTGGTTCTTAATACGTTCGTAGGCACTTTAGAAAAAAGTGGCAAGATATTATGAGATTGCCAGGGAAAATAGAAATAGCTCAGTGTTTTGGTTAGGCATCTGCGGGATAACTACCCTGGCTAGTTACAGCAATACAGATGATTTTGTTTCATCCTCACAACTCTAAGAGGCAGGAACTACTATTTCCATTTCACTGATGCAGAACTGAAGCTCACAGTGACCCTCGGAGTCACACGGTCCTCAGAGTCAGACCTGAATCAAGCTTTCCCACTTCCTGAATCAGGGCTTTCTATTGATTTTAACTTCTGTTTTTTTGTCTGTTGGGTTATTTTCCTTCTCTTTCTGTTTTTGCATTTTAAGAGAGACATGACCTTGTTCAGCCCTGCAGAAAATGCTTGATATTTAATTCTTGGTTCAGTGGAACCTTGTCAAGACCATTAACAGGTTTTCTTCTCTCATGAAAATAACCTAGCTGCTAAATCCTATTATTTACCTAAATACCATTTCCCCCCTGAAGTTGGTCCTTTAAATTTTTATTTATACAAGTGTCCCCTTCCAGTGGATTTCCCCTTGCATCACGTAGTGACATGAAGCGTGAGTAGGAATTCCGCACCCTTACCTGTGATGTTGCAGTACACTTGGAAAGGTCCCAGGGTCCCACTGCCATCTGAGTCGATGTAGAAGAAACCAGCTGTGTTGCCGTGGTGCCTGTACACCTCGCAGGATTGCTCATAGAGGGCTGGAAAAACACAAAGGCAGCAGAGAAGAAATTTGGCTTGGCTCTGCATATCCCTTTGGAGGATCAGTAACTCCTACTTATTATATTTACTTTCAATTGTGATTTCTTTCCTTTCTCCTATAACCTCAACTTTCTCCCCAAGCCTTAACAAACTAGTGCCCCAATGTTTGATGGGCTTGCATCCTCCATTCATCTTAATGTTCATTCTTCTAAACAACTCCGAGTTTACATCCTCCAAAATGTCTCCCCTTCCCTCTTAAACAGCCCTTCCCTATGCTGATGTGTCTGTCCTTCCCCTACACTTGCACAGCTGTGAAGCTAGGGCATCATACACTGTTCTGTCTCCTGCAATAGTTACAGAATCTTTAAGAGTGGTGGCAGTGTGTAGTTTGAGGCTGTGTTCCAGCATCTAGCAGAATGCCACACTCACAGTGGGAGATCAAAAGTTTAAAATGTACAAATAATAAATGCTGGAGAGGGAGTGGAGAAAAAGGAACCCTCTTATTAAACTGTTGGTGGGAATGTAAATTGGCGCAGTCACTAAGGTGAACAGTATGGAGGTGCCTTAAAAAACTAAAAATAGAGCTACCATATGATCCAGCAATCCCACTCCTGGGCATATATCTGGAGAAAACTCTAATTCAAAAAGATACATGCACCCGAATGTTCATTGCAGTGCTGTTTACAATAGCCAGGTCATGGAAGCAACATAAATGTCCATCAACAGAGGAATGGATAAAGAAGATGTGGTGTATATATATATATATATATATATATATATATATATACACAATGGAATATTACTCAGCCATTAAAAAGAATGAAATAATGCCATTTGCAGCACCATGGATGGACCTAGAGATTATCATACTAGGCGAAGTAAGCCAGATAGAGAAAGACAAATATCATATGATATCACTTATATATGGAACCTAAAAAAATGTACAAATGAACTTATTTGCAAAACAGAAACAGACTCACAGAGAAAACAGATTTATGGTTACCAAAGGGGAAAGGGTGAGGTGGAGGGATGAATTAGGAGTTTGGGATTAATATGTACACACTCCTAAATATAAAATAGATAACCAACAAGGACCTACTGGAGAGCACAGGGAACTATACTCAATATTTTGTAATAATCTATAAGGGAAAAAAATCTGAAAAATAATATATATATATATATATATATACGTATATCTGAATCCCTTTTTTGTACACTTGAAACTAACACAACATTGTACATTAACTATACCTCAGTAACAAAATGTTTGATTAATGAATGTAAAACTGAATATACAGTCATGACTTTTCATTTATAAAGTAAAATGACACGGTCTTATTTCTATATACCCAGAACTCAGCACAATAACTATCATATAGTAGGTGCCCAATCAAGTTTAGTCCATTTTGACTTATCAAGCATTTACTGAGTTCCTCATATGTGTCAACAATGTGGTGGCCACCAAACAACAGACCAAGGATGTGGCAATGAGTCTGTGCCTTAGAAAGCTCGTAGCCTGGTTACAGCCATAAAGATCTTTATGTGCTCAGAGAGAGGCAGACACAGCTGTCCTGAGATGGGATACTTTGAACAGTCTGAAGGTAAAAGAAATTTATAAATCTCATTACACCCACATGAATGAATTTGGTAGGGTGGAAAGGAGGATCTGCTGCTTCACACATGAGAAAGTAGAATGTTGTCTGATGCTTAAGACAAAATAATGTAGCTCAGAGCAGCAGGTACACGTCCAATATTATGTCATCCTCCTGTGTTGAAAACACTTCAGTGGCTCCTAACAGTTTTAAAGATAGAGCACTAACTCCTCACCTTAACTACCATGCCCCTGTGACTAATGTCCCAGCCCAGGAATACGAAGCTGTAGTTTGACATGATCAAGTGTGAGGGGTGCTTCAAATAATTCATTACAAATAAAGTTCTAAAGCTTGAGAGGCTTTGACTTTGTATAAATTAGAGTAAATTCAAGGTGATCCTTGTACTCATGTAATTCTACCTTGCAGTCATACACCATTTCTGAAGCTGTGGGTCCATGGGAGGGTCAGTTTGCACCCTGCATATTGAGCATAACATATAGCTTAAACCTGGCCTAAACCTGATAACACACCAAGGTGTGTGTCACACATCTGATAACACACCTGGCAACCTTTAAGATAACTCATCAGCATCTCTTGGAATTCACGCTCTCCCCTTGAGTGTGGTCTAGACTTACTGACCTGCTTCTGACAGAAGATGATGTCATTGTCAAGACCAGGTTGTAAAAAGACACATGGCTTCCAACTCGGGTTCTTCTGGAGCACCTGCTTTCAGAGAAACTGACTGCTAGGTCCTGAGGTAACCCTTTGAAGAGGTCCACAGCATGAGCCTGGAAGCTTCTCTCCAGAGTTTTAACTGAAGTGACAGTAGCCCTGGCTGACACCTTGAAGGCAGCCCCAAAAGACTGGGCCAGAACTACCCAGCCAAGTTGCTCAATGACCCACAGAAACTATGAAGTAATAACGTCTGTTGTTTCCAGAGGATAACTTTTGCTGTAATTCATCATGCAGCAGTAAAGAGCTAATATACTCTCAAAGCATTAATTCTCTCATGCGGTTATAGGCATAAAAAAAGAGTCTATCTAATACAACTGAAGTAAGGATTCAGAGATAATCCACGTTCAACACTTAGCATAGTACTTGGCACGTAGGAAGTGCTTGACAAATATAAACTATTATTATTAATGTTAAATTGTTTCATGCTATGTCACTTCTTATTTTTTGTCAATGTTTTGCTTACTTATTTTTTTTTCATGAACCACAAGACTTGTTAAGAAAAACCAATAGGCCTTACCTCCCTTCTGTGCAGAGATGATGACATTTATTTCTTAGCTTATTCTTTTGGTATTGACTATTGTATCTCTAAATTGTGTGTCTATACTGCTACTTCTTGATTTTCCATATTTATAGGTCATCTATTCACTTACCAATAGGAAAGATGAGAATTTAGTTTTTTTCATCACCTCTCCCCACATACAAAGAACTTTCGGTTTCCACATACTGCCAATATAATAGGATCACAATTTTAGTTAGATCAATCATTACTGTTTATGCTAATACAACAGAAAGCATGCTATTCACGAATGTGGTTGTTTCCTTTCCTGAACACAATTTCATTTTTCTAGAAATTAATAACTGTCTTACTTTTCTTCTCATTTGCCTTATTTTCTAGGTATATATCACAAATTTAACTACAAATTCACTAACAACTCTCTAAAATGCCTTCCAAAATATTCAGGTGAAAACTAATTTAAATGGATACCTATGAAGAGAGAAAGAATGGGAGAAAGGGGACAGGGACAGAAACTAGGCCTTTCTGAATATGCCATATTTTTAACTTTGAATCAATATAAATATTTTTAAAAACAAAAAAACAAAATTAAATATACTAGAAGAAAAGGTGCAATTCATAAATATGGAAAGAAAACTAAATGAATTTAACTACAAATTATTTCAAGTGATATTTAAATTCAGTATTTTCTTCTTAACTTTTTATCACAAAAAATCCAAATACGTGCAAAGAGCACAGAGAGTAATAAAATAAACCTGATATCACAACTAGCTTCAACAATAACCACTATTTGGTAATCTTGTTTCATCTCTAGTACCTGCGTTATCAGTTATGCATTGCCACGTTCCAGACCACTCCAGAACTGACTTAAGACAACAATCATTTCATGATTCTGCCCTCAGCAGAATGAAATAAAGACCAATGAAATAAAGGATTCGAAAATAATTATCAAGGATTGCTAAATCATTAGATGAAAAGTTGAGGGGGTCCTTTTTTAGTGGATGGATTAAATTAACAATACCCAAACTCACCGATCAATCTCAACACACCCAAAAGTGATTATCAAGATGCCTGCAACGTGAGGTAATAAGAAATACACAGCACCACCTAAGATACATTCTTGCCAAAAATTTGAAGTTGAATCTAATCAAGCCCTGAGATTTAAACACTAACTCACAGTAAGAGGTAAAGAAACACACTCAACATTATAAAAACACAATCAGTTAAATTCAGATTCTGGGAACATCTGACTCAGTCTCTTCAACAAATAAATGGCAAAAAGGGGGATAGAAATGCAGGAAACATATCAGTCAAACACTGTGTATGGACCTTGTCAAGATCCTGATTCCAACAAAGCAAAGACAAAATTAAGAGAACCAGAAAAATTAAAATCAGATTTGGTATCTTTAAGTATTTTTAAAATTTTGCTTGGCTATGATAATGGTAGTGTGGTTATGTTCTAAAAGATAAAACGTTCATCTTTGTCAGAGATACATACTTAGGGATTTGTAGTAAAATGATTATGTCCACAATCTGTTTGTTACAATACTTCATCGAAAACAAAGAGGGACATAGTGGAAACAAAAACGGTAGCCTACTGATAAATACTGAAACAGGGGAGGGTACATTGGGGACAATTATACTATTCTATCTTTTTTTGTATGTTTGAAAACGCCTCTAATAATTATTATTATTTTTAAAATATTTGGACATTTCAGGTATTCTATGGATTTCAACTTCTTTGAAAAATTATCTTCTGGATCTTTCTGACCTGTGGCAATCTGGACTGGTATGCTTCCAACCTGGCACATAGCTGTCTCCTTTGGCCATCTCCCCACCATCATGCTGGACATTCCCTCTTGAAATTAGCTTCTTCCCACAGCATAATTCTCTCGAAATCCACTTGAGTTGTTTCAGGCACCAATAGTTTATTTCTGTTTAATTGCTGAGTGGCATCCCATGGTATGGATATACCACAGTTTGTTTAGCAGTTAACCCATCATAGGACATTGGGTCATTCCCAGGTTTTGGCTGCTTCACTGGCGGCACGTTTAACAGTTAAGCCATTGTAGGACATTTGGGGCATTCCCAGGTTTAAATCCCCTGGAGGCTTTCCTCACCCCCCACCACCTCTGAATACTCTCTTCTTAACAGCATA